TTGTTTTCAATTTTCTAACAGATTGTATATAAACAGGTTAAATGTATTAGCATAATGTTTGGATCATGCAAATGCTGCATTTCCGACATCAAATGCTAGCAGACAATAGCACAATAGACGACATAGATGCATAGCAAGATGCATTTTTGTTAACAATATGAAAGCAACTTGTGCTCACACTAGCTATCTGGGTTTCTCGCGCGCGCTATCGTTTTGAAATAAAATAAGTATAATGACTTTATCTGAAATGATTTCGTGCAATTAACCATCATGAATAATATGCCAGAATGATTAAGAAAAATGAATATCACTAATAGTAATTGTTAAAGTAATCATTTTTCTAAAAGTTTACGAGAAAATTTTAAGACCGATTTGAAAGTACTCTATCAAGATCGTCTAACGTCATTACATTTTTATCCGCGTGCACATGCAACATCCTGCGTGACACGTGCGAGAAGGAGAGAGAAAGAGAGGGAGAGAGAGAGAGAGAGAGGACAAAAGTAAAAATGAGAGAATGAGAGAGAGAGAGAGAGAGAGAGAGACGTATGTACAGAGAAGTTTTCGCGAACGATTTTTGTATCTTCCGTGGCTGTTGCTCATTGTGACTGTTGATCGTGCTGCTTGGCTGGCCTGTTCTTTCCGAAAAGGTTCAAGAGCGACGGGGAAAGCCAGATCGGCGTGACCAGGACCGTGAGCGGACGGTCCCAGCAGGATTCCGACGAGGAGCTCACCGTGAACGTCCTGCCACCCTGGCCGAGTTTTAGGCAATTTCATTATTTTTCTTACGTATTTATTTCTTCTCTAATTCTTTTTTGCCGTTCTCCTCGCTACGTACACATTTTATTATTATTGTTATTGTTATTGTTATTATTATTATTGTTATCATTATTATGTCGTTATCTTTTATCATTGAATTTATATTTATTATCATTATAATTGCCGTCGTTATGACCGTAGCAGTTTTATTAATTCCACCGCGATGTATACTGTATATTACATTATGCATATAATACCGGAATACCTGTTTCAATATTCGTGTACATGTATATATATGTAATATTCATGAATATATACCGTATACCACGGCAGTGCGCGTGATGCGCGCGTTGCACGTGTCTCCGCGGATTAATCCCACATTTGCATTCTGATGATTCCGAGTTTCATCAATTAAATGCCTCGTTGCGCACTTTTAATCTCCTCATCCCTGAGTCAATACTGTCTGTCAAATTTGAAAATATGACAAAGGGAGGGAGATGTTAAGTAAACAAATTTTTTTTTTCCTATTAAAGAGCTTAGGCAGATATGCTTTCAAGAAAACTTTCACATGATATATCCTGTGATAATCCTTTAGTGATAATCAGGCAAATAAGGGATTAAACTGCATTGTTGTGCCCTTTAAAATAAAGATAACATATACGGGCAGACTGTTCTTGTATAACATTGACAAACTGATTCAATTTCTTCTTCAACCACGAGATGTAGAGAATTAATTTTTTCTTATATAAATAATTTACAAGCCACCTTAAAATGAGCGACTTTTAAAGGAATCAAGGTTTTACTTGATTTGCTTTGATAAAAGCAATTCTTAATTGAATTAGGGGATCCAATTAATTAATTCCGGGAAATTGAATGTTGGAACCCAGGGAAGCGTAAAGAGATCTAGACAGATTTTCGTTGAGATATCGATTCCAAAGCGGTCGAAGGTACCTTTAGTCTGAAATTTGTCATTGCCATTCAAGAACACTCTGCACACATGTTCGAGTATTTCTCCCACATCCATTCGACGCGGTAAATACCGTAATGCGTCCCGTAATGTGCCAGCCGGAAGGTATCACGTACGTGCACTTGCAGTACACACGCTTCAAAGTGAATAACGATAAATTTTCATCGCACGTCTACGTCGAATCACGAGCAAATCGAGAGTGACAACCACCACGGACATTCGAAACTTTGCATTTGTCCTCATTTAATAAACCTGCGTTATATATTTCATATTTTTGATAAAATATATAAAATTAATACCATTCTTTGCTTTACAGCAGTATTGCAGTGTGATATGATGGCCCAATGTTTATTACACTAATGAAGAACGAGCTAGAAGGATTTTAATTGGATTGCGACTAATATTTAGAGATCATTGGACCATTTCTCGCTAAATAACTCTTACTAATTTTCAACGTCGGAATATTTATTCTATCCAAGATTTTATATGTTAATACGATACTACAAAGATGCTTCGGTTTGTTCGTCCTTCCAGCAGCATTTTCACGAGACGTACACTTCGTTTGCGGTATCAATATCATTATCATATTTTAATGATTACACTGCAGTTTTTAACGAATGCTAGAGTGCTGTAAAATATATGGCTTTACAAGGTCATGCGCATCTTTCTCGCATAATCATGTATATTTTATAACTAAATGACAGAGCCACATTGCGCGAATTGCAGGATTTCGTACAGTTTTTATTCCCTCCGTGATATAGCTTTGTGCAATTTTATCCACCAACTTTTATTTTCAGCGCTGAAACGAAATAACATAGTCGTAACGACATTCGCACAAGGTGTGTTAATGAAAAGTAAAACGATTTAATATATTTAACAAAATTGGTATTGGTAATAATAGTTTTTGAGCAAGCGATATCTAATCTAGTAGAGTTATGCTACGAATATAATTATTGAAATCGCGCAAATTCTCCGTGCTATCGGCGAGATGCGAAACTGTCGAAATCCTAACAGGTATTTAACGAGCATCCGATTTTCTTCGATTTTTACGCGAAGTGCATGCGACGAACGCACACACTCTAGTATTCAGATTTCTCTTTATCTCCTATATACATAGTTGAATATTTTTATAAGAGTGCATATACGTACAAACATATATATATATATAAAATACTGTCATGCAAATGCCCGAGAAATTATCGGAATGCCAGAGAAAAAACTAAACGAATATCACGCTGCATTTACGATTTACAGCTATGATATTTTGCTTTTTCAAATTTCTATTGTATAATCATCGACGATGAAATCATATATCTATGACTTTCGCATTCTCAACTGCCTGACTTACACACACGCAATACGCTTTTATCGCTAATTATTCCACCAGAATTTTAACTTGATAATCTTACGCTACTTATCTTTGTAACCTAATTAATTATTTACACTTACTAGTCTTAATAATTTTCATAACAATTATTAACGATCGGAAAACATTTATTATAATAATTTAATGCGATAATAAACGTAATCATCTGATTTTCATGCATGCCAATGTCGAATTTTTCTTTAGAGATGATAATATTAAGAGGTGATATAAATTTATTTGTTGCTTATTATATATACATATTAATAGATTTGTAATCAATAACAGTGTGCTCTTATTTAACCGAATATAAAAGATTTTATACCGCATTTGTTAATCCAATCGAATGCATGATGATATTTTAATATTTCAATCCTTATAGAAATTGCATATACATATATTAGAAAGAGAATTCTTTTGTATGCAGATTTAGCGTTTTCGATAATTCTTTATATACAATAATTGAAACACAATTCAGTTATTATAATAATATCATAGCTACAGTAGCTATGCATTAATACTTTTGACGGAAAGTAATAAAAATTATATATAAATCATTGATTAATTCCGGGAGGAAAGAGCGCGCTTTGATGCGATTTTAGTAATATTTTCCGCCTGTGTTTCACAAAGGCGCCGTAACAGCATCGATAATTAATAATTATAACGTAACTGTTCGCCGCGTTTGATATGTTCGATAAAGTGGCATTCCCAAAGTTTGTCAGGCAATTTCTCATCCCGATGTCGTTATCATGCCAAAAGATAACATACCAAAAAAATAAAATAAATAAACGTTGGTCGACGCTGGCTGTATAGTATTCTGTTTAAAAGATGATCAAAAAATCAAGCAAATTTTATTATTTACCGATATTTTGTATTATTATTGAATAATTTTATCAATTCATTGGTTTCTCTATCGTCAGTGGATTTGATAGAGTTCAGTAACTTTATCCGTAAAATTCGCAAACGCATAAAAGCACAGATCAGTAATTGAAAATTTCCGATTTGATAACTTTTTGTAATATATTATCAAACATACAAAGAAATACTGTTATATCGAGAAACATTTGCAAATTAAAGTATGTCAATTCAAGTCTTATTTGTCAACAAAATTGCTGTGTTGTTTTGTAATTGACAAATCTGAGAAAGCCAAACATTACGATGTTATCAATATTGATGAAAGAAGTGTACAAAAAGTACAAGACCTCTCGAGAGTTTTTTTAAAGAAAATATTAAACGGCGTAACCCCGCTTGATTTGAGTTGAATTAAGAAGTTGTAGCACGTGAGGGGCTTGTACAATTTTAGCGGAAATGCTAAAGTTCCGATGATTCGAACGTTGCTGGTGATACGAGAACGTGCCCTGATTGCTGAAGCAGCTACTTGTCTGTAGAAAGCGTTTTGTGAAAATCTTCCTACGGCAAATTAGCCCAGGTTTTCACTGTCGGTGTTTACCAACGTTCTCCTCCGTTTTCCTCCCGTATATATTTTGCCAACATCGTCCACCATCGTCGTGGATCCCAGGCACGTCGCACTGTAAGTCGCTCGACCGCCAACCAACCGGGGTGACCTTCCTTTTTTTAGCTCTCGATAGTAGGCGGCTGTATTCTACGCTATGATGATAACCCGATTAGCTTGGCCTCGAACTAGTTCGGGGATGCACCGTAGATTCAAACGGACCGGAAAACAGAACGAAACTCAATAAATTCATATAGAAAAATAGACAAGTTAAATTTTTCACGTGAGAATGGTCTTTTGTCCAGCACCCCCCTTCACCCACACACTTGCCCCTCTATATGCATTTGTACTTTGCTGCCCTGGTTCAAATCTAGGGAACAAGCCTGTCGTATCTTCTCCTTCATATGTAAATATATATTTTGTGAGCCGCTTATACATTAGGGAGATAAAGATGGCTCTTTTCTCTTTGTATTCCATGTAGATTTCGCCGTGACAGATCACACACTGCCGACGTAGAAAAGGGCGACGGCAAGGAGACCAAGGATGGCGAAACGTCGCACGTTAAGAAGCTGTCCACCGCCGAGGAAGGTGGAACAACCGTCGCGAAACCGCGACCTGGCAAGTGGGGTCGTTTGTTAGGTAAAATTAAAAATCACTTTTCAGTCATTTGAATTGCACGTACACGATCAGTAAGATCGTATAATGCTATTTAAAGCACGCTCGAAGAAAGAGATTTCGTGAAATGGTACATTCGGTGAGAGAAACTTGTGAAGAAACTGAATGATGCCTGCAGGTAGCTCAAGTTTAGACACCGGTAGCGAATCGGGCACGGCCGGCGACACGTTCAAGCGATCTCTTAGCGCGAGAGATCCGCGCCCGAGTTCCAGCGCCGCCACCAATAAGGTCTTCCCGAAGCTCAGCAAATTGGGAGGCACGATCGAAGAGGGCGGCGACGAAGGGCAGAAGGATGCGCAGCCACCACAGGTGCAACAACCACCGGCCCTCAGCGTGGACTCAAAGCAGTTGCAGTTGCGACGTCTGGAGAGCTACGACGGTGGTCTGATTACGCAGCAACCAAGTCACGAACGGGAGATTCTCGCAGCTGTACTGGAAGTGAAGGTGGACTTGAAGCTAGAGGTGCAGAGGGTAAATCAGCGGCTGGCCAAGATCGAGGACATGCTGCAGGCTCTGATGAACAAGTTGCCGTCCGGCGGCAGTAATGGCGGTAATTCGCAGCAACAGAAGATTCCAAGCTTCACTCTGAGCGGTGTCCAGACACCCGTCACCCCGAGCGCAATAACGTTGGTTCAGTCCGCGACTCAGACTACCGAGTGCAGACCGTCGATCGCTACCACGTCGACGTCCACGGCACCGAGCGAGGGTTATCGGGAACAGTCGACGGCGACGGAGCGCATATCGAAGAGTAGCCAGGAACACCATCATCATCATCACCATCACCATCAGTCGTCGTCATCGCGGGACGTCAACAAGGAGCTACTGGAGCGGCTGGCGCAGGCTTCCACGTCGCGCGGTGACGACTCGAATGCCCTGGGGCCGCTCATCCTACGCAAGCGACGCAGCAAATCGCGCAACAAGGGTGCGGCGCCACTCGCTCCTCTCGCTCCTCTCGCCACACAGCCAATGAGCCCGTCGGAGGCCACGGAGACCACGCAGATGCTCGAGTGCACCGATGATCGGGATTCGAGTGGTGGACCGGCCGACAGGACCGCCGACCGTAAGAGACCACCGCCCAGACCGAGGGAGTATTTGTGAAAGTTCTTCTCGCGCCGATTCTTTCTTTTCTTCCTCGTCTCGAGACAATCTGCCGCGACGCGGTCAAAAAAAGTTCATCATCCAATACGCTTGGTAGTTTAGCCTCTCATGAGGACGTGAGTCCGCTGTAAGATAATGCGCTCGCGAGTATCCTATTCTGAAACGTTCATGTATATACATCGAACAATAGCTACTGTTTCCTTACTCTCTCGTTTGTATATTTCTACGTGTACGGTGGCATGTTACACGGTGGTTTATCAGTGCCGTTGGAAGATGTAGTTGTTGGCCACCTCACGCGTGTGCCTGGACTTGTCCGATGACACGATTCAGTACTAACAAGTTGACTCTGCTTCTTTTTGAGCAGCGTACGCCGCTGTAAACGAATCGATAATAACGTATCGATAATTCCATATATCGACTCTGATAACATAAACGTTATACATATTTAAAGAGAAGAGCTTCGCATTTTCGTTAATCGCTCTTCAAGACGGGCGAAGGGAACGATGAGATTTTACCTCGTACCGATAAAAAGCCAATTTTGCATGGCGAGAAAACGGTACGATTTACCAGGAAAGAGGTAAATTAATGCAGTCTTAAGTACGAATTACTCGCTTGCGACGGCTTCTTCGAAACACATCGAAACTCTCCGAGGGAGTATATCCACCTTACACACACACACAAAACACATACACACATAGACACATACGTAGGTAGATATAGATTCACATGCATCGTATTGTGGGTTTACGGTAGTATCATGGCGATTACGCTACATTTCTAAGCCTCTCTCCGGCCACAAAAACGGTTCACGTCGACACCAAGCCAACGTCTCTTTCGAGGCAACGTGGCACTTTGTAATTATTAAGCATTCGCGCATGTGATTCGTGATATAACTTGTAACGGTGATGTTTAACCAAGGTTGTACAGTCAGAACCGACCAAGTACATTAATTTTCAACAAATATTATAAATTCTTTTAGGTTGGAGATGTTGAGAATACGTCACAGAAATATAAGGTAAAAAGCAGGTAATAGCAAAATAAAATAATTAAAGTCTCACATATAAAATAAAATTACTCAAGTTATCTTTTCAATATTTTACGGTTGTTTTTATTAGTAGTGTTAGTAGATTCCATGATACTAAAATTTATACTTGTTGAAAGCTAAAATTTTACAAGGCAAATAACTGTTTGGGAGTGATTCATTTAAATGTAAATATATAGATTTTCTTTCTGAAAAGTAGAAACACGTCTGTAATGACTTTTTATTATGATATATATATATATATATATTTAAATACATATTATTTTTAATAGTTGGAATTTTAAATATTGCATCCTCGTTTTTTACTGGTTCTGCACAATTAATCAAGTTATTTGAAAGAGTTAATTGGTTAGAGAGCACATGTATGGCATTTAAATATATTTTCCTATAGACAGAAAGAATAGTGCAACAGCAAAGGTACCTGAATGTAAACTCGGCTTCATTACGTCAATAATTTCTTTCGAAGAGTTAATCAAAGGTTTTAATACATGGTTCGAGCACCGTTTATAGGTAGAAGAATTTCTATCTAATTGAAAAAATACTTAGTAACCTTCAATTTACATGCGTTTTTCTTTTGACTTTAAATGCTTTGAATATTATCGAATAATTATAGCTGAAGAGCGAAAAATCGAATACGAATCGAAATAATTGTCTCGTCGTACTCGACAAACAAGCAATGGAATTGCAAATGTGATCGCCATTCTTATCCAAGATGGAATCGTTGACACGATCTGTTGCATATTGCAAGTTAACAACTCAAGCATTTTGATGGAAACCGAAATTTAAAAGTTTCGAATCAATTTGGCATAAAATCGAATTTTCGTTGTAATTTTCATTACAAATTTTATTAGCAGTGTCATCTATTACAATTTCACATTATGTTGAAGTGGTTAATTACGAAAATATTTATAAAGTTTTTTTCATTCGGTTATTTATTTGATAATTATAATCTTATTGCATTTCACATGACGCGTGATTATAAAGCAATGAAAAAGTGTGATTTGACTTGGAGAATTTACTTGTTCAAGTTGACGAAGATGTTAATTCGCCAAGGGAGGTTTCTCAATAGTATTGTTAGGCAGGAAAATGGCGTTATACGTTCACAAATTCGTATGATACATACGAAGCCAAAACAGCAATATTAGATGTATATATCTTGTAATATGACATGTATATATATTTGCATAATCATTGACCATTGACAGATGCGGGGAAGCGCGCTACACACTGCTGCTACTGCTGCAGACGAGAATGGCGTCTTTGCTAATAATAAAACGAGCTGACAATCAATCTTTTGCAAAATATTTATTAGATCGAGCTTTAATTATATCGTAATTATACAAATCTGGATTATGTGGCATTGCTACCTGTAAAGAAAAGATGATTGGTTTATATCAATAGCGTGCTTTTGCATTCTTTACTTCTAATCATCTTTTTAATTTAATCTTTTTATGGTTGTGCACTTGTAAGAAATTTGTATTTCGTTCTGTTCTCAATAATCGTGAAGAGCAAAGGCACAATTCTCATTAACAGAAACATTTTATTAAATCGAAAGTATAGACGCAAATACGCGTGCATATACGTAAAATACACAGACACATATATTTACGCGCGTGTATATAAATATAAATATAAAATAATAAGAGAAAAAGAATATATATATAAATAGAGATATATAATTTCATGTTATGAAAGAAAAAATTACCGAAAAATCGAGAACTTTGTTAAATAGATTCTAGAGACAGAAACGATATAGCTGGCTCTACCATAGTTTATATACTTATACGCAAAGAAAAAGATTTAACACTGTTGAAATTGTAGCAATTAAGCCAATTAAATCGATTAAATCTATCGCGCATCAATTATATTGAAATAGCGGTACGCTGAGATTTTTCATGCACCAATCATATCGCGCGGGATGTTACGCTAAAATACTCGACTTTTCCACTCGGTTTCATCGGCTATAGGACTACGACATCTGTGTAAATTCCATTTCACAAGATATGGGATTATCATCCGTGCGTTTCAAGAACTGATTACTGAAGTACATCTGAATTTCTATTTCGAATAGTATCGACCGAAATTTACGTAATTAAACATAATTACAGAGTCGACTAAATGTAACAGAATTTTCAAGTATTTAACATTCAAAATAATTTAATTCTATGAGATGTCAAAGTGAAATATTTTTACTTTTTTTATCTGTACATTAGAACTTACAGAATATTAAAAAGTGTAATATAATTTTCGAAAAAAAAACCCTCAATATAACGTCATAAGAACAAAGCTAATTTTAAGCGCTATAACAAAGAGATAAGCGACAAGCATTATTTTTATCCAGTTTGATCTTTTACACAACATTTACAAATAAATTAAGTAAAAATTGAGCAATAAAACGCGTGTTTCACAATGCTGCGATTCTTATGACTTATGTCATAATATCCGAAAGACATATGCAGGAAATGGAGCTGTAATATTTGCAATCCATGCGGCGCGATGGAAGAAGCTAAGAGAAAATGAAAATCCAATTTGTCAATTACAACTGCCTTTTACTTCCTTCACAGTAATGAAAAACGTGAAACTTGCGCAACATGGAAACGCACGCGATGCGAACCCGTACAGTAATTCTACGCTCCATTGCTTAAAAATTGTTCACTAGCTGTAATTCCAGTTTATTCGGAAAATGTTATTCGCAATTTCCGTTTGTTACTGTGAGACGCAGCGAGATATACATATATACGCTCAGGATCCAACGAAACGCAAGTAGCAGATATTTCTTTTAGAATCAACGCAATATCATAAGGCGGTGGTGAGGTAAGGGAGAAGATTTGTATACGTTATCCAATTAATTCGTGATATTAACGCATGATGGAACTTACGAAGCAGCATCATCTTCGATAGATCAGAGAAAAGGTTTCCGTTAATTTCGAAATCGAATGTACAACATAAAAGTTAAGAGAAACGAAAAATGCATTTGGCATTCAAACGAAGAATATTAATTGAAAGAATTAGCAATAAAACAGATACGATGCAATCGCTTTCGAAATGTGGAAATATTATGAATATTGAATCGAAATATATACTCGTCAAGCTCTTAACACTTGAATTCGAGATAAGAACTGTTGTCAGTTTCTGTTATTCTCTCTTTCTTCAAGGCTAATCGAACTATCTGCTAAATCTTTAATAAGGCATATGTGATACTGCAGCTTTGGACGAATATCAAGTATGTAAAATAGGTAATCTACAACTCTAAAAAAAAAGAGTGAAATTGGTCAAAGAATTGCTCATTAAATATTGCGCAGTTTTTGTAGAAAAAGTCATGAAAAGAAAGCAAAAACGAGCGCATAAGAATGAACGTGCCGCGTGTATAATATACCCGTGTACAATTGTAAAAAGAAGTAGATCTCTCCGTTCGCGATCTGCTCCGTTCGATCAAATTATTTTACGTTCACTGTCATTTCATTGCATTGATAATTATTATTTATTGCGAAAATGTTTGCAAAACTTTCGAGCTTGCGATAAATTCTTCTTTTCCTTATTTTTTAATTTGCCACATAAATCAAAGTACAGCTAACTAGAAAATACCTTTACAGTATTTAAAAATATTTAACCGACGGTTATATTCTTTATGGAAACATCTTTCTTCCACATTGTACAGCCGGGGCAGGTCGTTATGTAATGTAAAACGATGTAAACGAGAGAGAATAAACGCAATACGATATTGCGATTTTTTACATCAGCTACTTTGCAATAATACGAACAATCGCCATTTGAACGACAATGTCATACCATGAATCGTCGTCCCTGACCTTACCTCACGTGCTTATTCGTTCGAAACAAAGTTTCAAGAAGCAAGTCAATTCTCACGACTCGTTACAACGAGTTGCTACATGGCATGTACAAATCCGCGTTCGAAAGTTGCTGCGAAAGCTTTGCTGTCCTTGATCATCAATTACAAAGAGACACCACAAATTATATTCTTCTCATATATATATATATATTATATTAAGCTTGATATTTTAGATCAAGCGAGAAAACCCTGTTAGAATGAAACATTGGATTTCATGATCGAGCTGATTTATCAGCGATACACGTGCATCTTTCAGTATAAATTAATTTTAATCAGGATCATAAACAAGCGGCGATTCAAATCTCGGTATTTTTTTTTCATCTCATGCGACGTTGATTAAAGTAAACTTTAAAATGGTATAATTTATGTATATTACCATTATGTTTTTATGTATACAGTTGCGACACGCTAAGTAGCATGTCACAATCGCTGCGTGCGATCTCGAGAGCCTTAAATATAGGGAAATTCGATACGACGATGACGACGAGAGTGTTCGCAACGACCGTCGAAGAAGCCATAATAGGTCTTGTACGAATTTCACGAGAGAAACGATTGAAAACAAAAAACTATAAATACATATATATATGCGTACATATATATTATATATTGATAGAAGGGGGGGAAAGATTTTTGCTATAACACTTCGTCCATTTTTCTATATGGGCAGTTCGTTGCACTCGTAACACAAATCCTGAGCCTTGTAAATTATTGTCCTCCTCAGACACTTTTCTGACAAAGAGCATCCCCCGTCTTCGCAGTACCGCAAAAAGTATGTACATACCGAAGAAATCAAACGGAATTGAAGTTGATTAAGTTTTTGCGCCCTCCATGATCCTCTTACTCTCATCACCGTTTCTTTCTCCTGTTCGAAATTGCCTACTAAATGATAATCTCTCGGGGTTCGATTTCTACGATAGCGTGGCCACTCCTCACCTAACGATGGGACTCTTGTAAAGCTTTGCGAGGCTCAATAGAGAGCGATCTCGGGGGTGGATTTACATAAGAGTTTGTGTGAGACTTCTCCGCCGACAATTTCAAGTTGGAACGATCATTGACGATTGATGACATGTAAACAGATGATACGTATGTCAGATATTTTGATGTCAATTCCTGGGTGGAAAACGTAATGCTTAGCTTGGCAGTAGTGACGCTGCGACGGAACCGAATTATTTATTTGAACGATTCAATGTATCCTTTGTAGAAATTATATCGTTACGTTTGCGATCAATTAGATGTAAGAAACAAAAGTCGCAGAGGATAGCTGCTTTGCGTTCAGCAAACCTTTAGTCTTCCTGGCGCCCTCGTATTTATGTGTTCGTTCGTAGCGTCTCACTGCGTGAGAATATACGGCAGAAAGAAAGAGAGCGAACGCGAAAACACACAAAAATACGTCCAAATTATTATCCAACAAATCATCGTCAATGATCGCTCGAAGAATATCCTTGAGAAATCAAATTGTAGCATCGAACGAAGCCTGGCTAGAATACTCAATGAAACAGCTGCTTTCAAACTTGTAATAAAAACATTAAAACCATACTTGTATTGTGTCTCATTTCGAAATATATTCCTCGTAAATAAATAAGTTTTCGTCAATTGTTTTGTATGCATCAAAAATATATTTCTTAATTAATATATTCTTATATTACGTTTTGAAAAAGTTTTACAATTGTAGAATATTCACCGTGTAATTTTAATTGGATAGTCTACTTTTAATATAAAAAAAAACTCTCTCGCGTCTTAACTGATCGTCGCGTGATTCGTTTCTTCACGTGAACCTATTGACACATTCTACGTTGAGTGTCACTTAAGTTCAATTCGAAACGTTTGTTCCGAAAAAATCTGATGATATCGTTTTAGACACGAATGTCACGTAGTGATAACAGTGGCCGTTTAATGTCGATGTCCCACTTTAACGTTGTTTCTCTATTACGTGGATATAAAACCCAGGATCTACGATCTGGTTGAGCGGTTTAAAATCACCGTAAATGGTATGTTTCGCCCCGTGGCTGAATGTTTCGGTCAGCATGTCGCGGAAAATTGTCAGTCTGTGAGGATAATATGACAGTCTAAATTCGCTAATATATTCGGGATTGTCTTTGTTTTCCTCGTCCAGAGCGATCATGTAATCCATAGTAACAATCGCTGGTTTTCCAGAGACGAAGAGCACCGATGTCTTGATGTCCGTCATATGCTGACTCTGCGATACGAAACATTTACAATGTTTAACGTAAAATTTTCCCAGATGAGGAGAGAGTGTAACATTTTTTCTAGCGACACTTACGTTATAATATATGCATTTTGAAGGAGTTTGGCCGGTTCTGATGATATAATCGTAATTCCTGTGATCGATGAGCAGTAAACCTCCCGGCTTTACACAACGTTCGAAATTCGCCAAGGCTTGTCTAGGACAACCAAAGATTTTATTGAGATAAATGAGATCCGCACGAAACATTCTGTATTAATCAAAATTAATTGGATTTCGTCAAGTACAGCTTGAGAGTCAATGCTCCGAAATATCACTTATAGATAATCTAATATATTATGTCCTAATATGATGAATTGAATACCTCTGCTCTCTTTGATCATCGAAAGAATCAGGCATGTGAGCAAAACTGTTTCCCAAACATATAACAGCATCGAAACCTTCTCCAATGAGATGGCTGATATCGCTGGGTAGAGTTAGCCAATTCGCTTCTTCAATCACTGCACAATGCAAAAGGTTAAAGTGATAATAATTGCAAATTATTTACTTTAACCTTTCTCAGCAGACTTATAGAATTCTCTTAAATTACAAGTTGATAGTAAAATCCTTGCTTTTTGTCTTAAACTTTTCTCTAGGACTTTACGAACAAGCTTTTGATACTCTAAAATCTGAATAATTGAAATATAATTTTGTTAGATATTATTAATATAACTTTTAATGTGATTATTTGCTTCAATTTTATTGGCATGCGGATTATTCGCATTTTCGCATTTAATGTGATTGAAATTACAAAGTCGGAGGCTAGCAAGTAGAAAACAAAAAGTCGTGATTGACCTTTGTTGATAAGCGAACAGATTCCTTCCTTCTGTACTTCTGTTACTGATAAAACAATTCAGTATAATGATAAGTATCCAGTAACTGTTTTTCACTCGACATACGACTATCGTGCTTTATCTGGTTTCGATTTCACAACGATCATGTATGTATGTGTACGTACATGTAAATAATATTTCGTTAGATTGTATAATGACTTTTATCAACGTAAAAATATCATAAATGCACTCAGTAGCGTTAAATGCATGATCTTGCATTGTTGCAACCTTGTTACACTTAAATCTTCAGCGATATTTTTTAATCGGAATAGGAGCAAACTGCTTTGCGTCAAGATTTTATCTCGAGTTTTTATACGATGATTAACGCTCATCTTCCCCTTCACATTTCGAAGAATATCTTTCTTTACTCTTTTCCCTGATGGAAAAATTTTGCTGAAAATGTAATGAAATTGATGAAAAGTGAAATGAAAGTTATTGGAAACTTGTTGAAACCATTTCAAAATAAATCATAAGTTTCGTTATGAAATTCAATGAAATACTGTGAAATTAGATGATAGTTAATTAATATTACTAAAAATTAGTGAAAAAATTTTAAAAATGTTGCATATTATAAAATGTGCAGAATTTCACTGAAAATAAATTGTTTAATGAGAAATTGCTGAAATGATAATGAAATTGGGTCAATTGCAAGAGATTTTCAACCAAATTTCAGCAAATTTCATTGCGTTTTCAACAAAATTTTTCCATCAGGGTTCCCCAGGTCTTTTTAGGTCTATGAAATTGGATCTTAATTGAAATATTAGACGTCCAACTTGCTCTCACCCCAGTTATCAAAAGCAGGCTCCTTTCTACGATCCCATCTGGATTTTAGCGCGTGCTTGAGCATTTTGTCAGACGCGTCGACGCTGACGACCTCGAAACCCTCTTCCAGCAGCATCACGGAGTCGACGCCGGTGCCGCAGGCGACGTCCAATATTCGACGACATCCCTTCTGCCGCATCAGGCCCACCAGGAAGTCCCGATAGTTTTGCGTACGTTGTTTCTTATCGCCGATGAAGACCTCCCAGACCTTTGCCGCTTTGCCATCCGCATACTGATCCTTGACACCCTCGGCTGGCGTACCAAGGGAACGGGTACGAAACACGGAATCCACCATCGCGAGGAAACTTTACGATGGAACTGTGGAACCAGCGCGAATCTTGTCAGAGAGTTGTAATTTTCAATGTCGAAGCAAAAATATACAATATTAGAACAGTTCAACAGAGAATGGATACGCTATGTTGGTTAGGTTTCAGTCATATACTCTCTAAGGGGCAGTTTCACAAAGGTCGGTTAACTGCTAACTAAAACAGTGGATATTCACTGATTAACAGTTGTAATGCACCGACTTTTAGAGAGTACATAAAATAGCGTGTATTTATTCTTTTTACTATTGGGTGTTCTGGTTAGATTTAATTAAAGGATTTTTGCAAGAAAAACACGTTTATATTTAGAGAGACGTTAAATTTTATTTTATTCTAAATATTTTCCATTGCTATATTTTTTCCATTTTTCAGGCAAGTGAATTTCGCGGTAAAAGAAATGTTCGTCCTTCGAAGCAGTCCACTCATCAATCCATTTTGTACTTGTTCGTACGATTTCAAGTGCTGGTTAGCAAAGCTGTGCTGCTTGGATCGAAATAAGTGATAATCGGAAGGTGCACAGTTTGGTGAATACGCGGCGTGTGATAGGACTTTCCATTCAAGTCCCGATAATGTATTCTTAACTGTTTTTACAACGTGCGGTCGAGCATTGTCGTGCAACAAAATTACTTTGCGTTTTTTTTTAGGACGTTTTTGGTTCAAAGCACGATTCAAGTCAATTAATTGTTGTTGATATCTGTAGTAGATTTGTATCTACAGCTATCTATATTAAGCCTTTAAAACTAACTGGAACACCTAATATTTCTCTTCTTATGACTATATTTGCACGATCGTGTAGATTTAATCCCGAGTATCATTATCGTCCCTATTATTTAATTCAGTCGACTATCTTTCGTGCCGTCTCACCTCAACAATTTTTTTACTGCTACTTGTTAACTGTTTTTTTCTTAATATAATCAAGATTAACCACGCATCCCGGCACACAAATTCCTATCTGCTAGATCGACCAGATAGCTTCGTCATTCGTGTTTCGCATAAATTATTATTATCTCGCGTAGTGTTATCAAGGGCTCACGACACAAGTCAAGCGTGCGTTAGGTTTACACCGAGGGCAAATGAGAGAAGGGTGACCTCTCCCTCCAACGTTATCCAGTGCCACGTGCCCACCGGGAGCCATTCCATCGTCTCCTAGCATTTTCTATTCACTCCCGAGGACGCCGGTGCGCTCTGATTGAGTGCGGGCGATGATCTCGGTGCAAGATTAAACGCGGAAGCGGTCGCGTAATTGACGTATTAACGCGCGATGCGACTCCGCGTCAGCGGAAGGAATGTTCATCGTGATAATCGATATTAATATATGATAATAACTCTCGATATTTTGGCACAACTCTGCGATTAATTATTATCAATATCATACATAGGACAACTTATCCAATTTATCTTTGTTGACTAATAGATCTTACGACTAACGTGATTATTTAGCGCATAACCGTTCGAGTTCAAGAGAATTGTAGGAATGAATAAACGCGTGAGTGAATAAATTTCCAATTTATTCGTGTTACTACCGTTTACTTAATATTTTTCTTCTTTCCTCCCAGTAACTAGTGAATAAAATCTCGCTTTACAATTACGAAGACAGAGCCAAGATTCACTCTTCCACTTTACTTTTGTAACAGCTTGAGAAAGATGTAAATTTAATTAAACTACATGCGGTAAAAATGAATAGAAATTGGAGCGCAAATCTAAATGTAACTTTTACATCTTTAAGATTACTTTTTTCTTTAAAAAATAGTCAACCGAGCCGCTCGTTTGCACTTTTGAACTTGTTATTTCCTGTTCTCTTACGAGATATCGTACCTTTAACTCGACGATGATGAAACTGTGCAGCTCTCGTTCGACGTTGAATATCGATACGAAAACCGCAGTACATGCGAATCAAAACTGTCGCGGCGATATAGCAATCGCCGCATTTATATACGCCGTGATGTGTAAGAATCGCTGCGATAGTGTGTTCGAATACGCGGACTCATACACCACAACGTACTTACTGATGATTCTATCACTGGATTACTTCTCAATATGACGTAAGTTTCACAGCGCCAGCGATTCGATTTAGTGTTTCGGTTCAGCGTTTGATAAAAGCGAACGGCTCCAACGCGACGATCGTGTGACATCCTCTGACTTCGGACAAATTTTTTCTACAATATCGTTCACCGAAGCTCACCGAGATAGCGCAAGTCGTCAATTATATTTTAGTAATTAGCAAGTGCCTTTATCTTGTGTTCGAATATCGCTAGTTATTCTTGTGACTACATCGTTCTTTCCTCTAAATTAGAATTCAGTACTAACGTTTTGATTCTTACACTGACGAAAAAACATTTTTTAATCCAAGTAAATATTTATTTTATTTAAATTAAAAAAATGTCAAATTTCAAGTAAATCTATGTATTGCATTGAATGCTTAGAAGTTATATTTCGTCACGTTACAACGTCATCATTATCGAGCATATGACATATGACGCAAGCGATGACTTGCATGTCAATCATTTGTGGCAAATAAGTAAACCTGTGAGACTGATTCGAATGTATACTTATACAAAGTTTGCGCAATACGCCTGTAATGAGATTTCAACAATATTAAAACAGATGTGGGACGAATTTGTTCGACTCGCATTTGTATGTAAAGAAACAGATGTGGAGCAAACTTATTCGACACGCATTTGTATGTAAAGAAAAAAAGCTGCGTTGTTTGAAGCATGTTAATAATATTACATTCCAAGAATAATGGATTCTTTATTGGAACCAACAGAATATTCTTACATATCTTACAATGGCATAAATATATAACAATGCAGGATGAATCAATTATTCTTAGTTTAATTACGATATTTTAAGTACTACATACTTTACACGAGCATAGAAAAATGCATTATTATTACTCTTTTCTGTAACAGGAGAAATTATGCGCGTGTCCGTGGATAGCTCGGCATAACGTTAATGCCAAGCACTTCTCTCTCTCTCTCTTTGCTACAAACGGAAATAAAAATATTTATCTCTACAAATGTGAGCGACAGGGCTTTGTAAAGTCTCCATTTCAGTTACAGACTGTTCTTATTTTAAAGAGCATACAATACAATCAACTATAAATTGGCAGTCATGTAGTTAAAGATTGTTTATGTATCATTCAACCTCTTGCGACGTAAAGAACTGTTTTATAAACTAATACCTCAAAATATACAACTGTTGGTTAAATGCAACAAGGTCAATGATGTAAGATAATATTCTTGCCATGAAGCATGGAATAAAAATGTACAACGCGGAAACATTTTTCTATAACGCTTTCAAGTAGTAACACGCTATAAAGAATTTAGACAAGAGTACTTCTCTTAGTCTATATAAAGAATGATCTCTCTTCGCAATAGAAATAGGAAATCGACGGTGGTTTTTTTTCCTTACGTTGAAATGTTTCAAAATTTTGCCATCAAATTCATGAGCTTTATTTAGAAATATACACAGACTGTCTCCACACGTAACGCTTACGTGGAAAGTATCGATTATATGATGTGATGTGAAGAACGTTTATGAAATGCTTTCCACAAGTAAATCACTGATTAAGCTTAGCATTCGGAGCCGTGCGCAACAATCTGTCGAGTGCGTTAGATCAGTTAAAACACTAACAGGATTTAATTCATTTTCTATGCAGTGATCAGATGAACGTTGAACTATATCACTTTGTCAGATGCAGCAAATTCTTTCCTGCGCTCTCACCCGATTCCCACTTTACAACAGTTCGTACCCTCATATATTCTTCAGATCGTCTGGCAGGTCGTTCTTAGGGTGTTTATTTTCAAAGTGTTGCTTATAAGTCTTAGGATCTGGCATCTGGGCCTGCAAAGAAAAGTAAAGAATTTACGTGAAATGTACATTCAACGGGAGCCTACGAAAATCCACAGAGACAAAGACACTGACTTTGCACACGGAGCACACGTGCACGAGCGCTTTCTGGGCTGCCTTCTTTTGATCATTGGCACTGTGTCCTTGCTGTTTCTTTAGCTTCGCGCTTTTTTCCGCCGCCTTAGCTTGGGACTGTATCTTCTGTTGTCCACGAGCCATTCTAGAAACAAGGAGAGTCTACAGATGAGCGGAAATGTAACATTCGCGATAGCAGCACAGCCTTGTTTTTCTTCGGAGTTCGTTAACATCGCACGGGATTAGACTTGGAATGTTGGCCTACAATACGTATCCAACATGTTGACTAGGGCAAGTGTAACGAATCAATCTTTCAAAGGCTGCCATCAGGATGGAGTTGTCTGTCAACAAGACAACTTTCTCTCTCTTTCTCTCTCTCTCTCTCTCTCTCTCTGTCTCTCTGTATCTTTTATCTCTTGCAGCTACCACCTTTCGAATTAAAATACAGAACCGTATTGTACTGTACCTAGTTGCCGGAACGTGCGACCGAGAGTATTCGCGGAATTTACGCTCGTCGAGATCGTTCACGTGTCCCCGCCGCCACGACAATCGCGATAATCGCGAGGATCGCTACTACGGTCCGAAATAAGGTATAAGGTCACTTTCAACCGCCGCAAAAAAAAGTGCGGGGTAAACTTTCTAGGACGAGAGAGAAGGAGAACGAGAAAAGTGCATCTCGCCGCGAGAAAGCTCCGAGTTCGTGCCAACTAGGAGCCGTGCGCTCTCTCTCTCTCTCTCTCTCCCTCTCTCTCTCGCGCGCGCCCGCGCGAAATATCTCTTTCGTCTCTCTCACGCCGCACGTCGCGGCGAGTAACTTTGTCTCTTTCTAAAGGCCTGTATTCACGACTTGATTCAAGTTCTAAGGTCTGTTCGCGTCGCATGCCCCAACATACTCCTGTTTGCCCCAGCAACCAATACCGTTAGTTTATTTACGATTGAGGTGACGCTATTGGTCGTCGGGGCAGACCACTAGTTTCGAGAGACGTGTAGTCAATCAACATAGTTGAAGCGTGTGATTGGCTGCAGGGGATAGTAAAATTCTAGAGTATCTAGAAATATAATTGGTGCTTTCCAATTGCAATATCCCTAGACACTTTCGTGCACACGGCGACACAAATGGCGTTCCAATTGTCACAAATGTCGACACACCTCTACACATTCGTACTCAGCCTGAGGGCTACTAGTCGGCTGTGTAAACTTGTGTTTTCTAGTGACAAATAATAGTTACTAAGTACGGCGGCTACAAGTGGTCGGCATATTCCTTCGCTACAACGGTTTACTATATA